TTTGCCAACAGGTGTGTAACTGCCATTACTACTGACACAATGTAAACGAATTTAGTCTGTCCTTGTATAGCAAAGTACTTTGAAATCATCATCACAGAATAATCTAGATACTCTAATAGAACGGTCAGTCTCAAGTACTGCACTGCTATATCACGGAAATCATCAACGTCGACGTTACCACCTCCACCTAAAGTCGGATAGAGACCTTTATTGGGCAACATATCAATAACATAGACGAGATTGAGATACGGTCCTAAGATTATCAGATGCACTAGTCCGCCTTGCAATAAACATTTTACCAGCACTGTTCCTAGCTCACTACTCTCAACTGATCCATAAACTTGTGGTCCGTACGTGTCAAACACAGAGGAGTAGCCGGAGGAAACGGACAAGACTACAACATTATAGATAGTGTTGGCAAGGCCTACCCCATCTAGGTGGGCCTGGTTGATGTTTCCAGCAAAGATCACAGTGATGAAAGGCATCATAACCGAAGTGACTACAATGGTAAGAAATGACGCTGAGAGTTTGACAAATTCCCATTCTTTGGAGAGATATTCCTGAACCTTTGCTGAAAAACGGTACTGCATTTTAAGAAGAAAAGCAGCAAAATTCGAACGAAAAATGTTTTGAAATCGTTCTCGTGGCTTGAGTAACTCCTTATCTTATTTTGCTGATTAGCGGAAGTGCAGCATCTTATCTTTAATTAAAGAGTTGCTTTGTGGCCTCACTTTATGCAGCTCTTTTTACGACGTCTCTCATAATTCAACTTTGACCTGTTTCGTCACCCAGAACTCAGGTACCACAATACCACATATTTTGGGATCAAATTACATAGCAGGTACAAGATTCAAGTGAGGTCTCGTACAGGTTTAGATTTGATAACAATAAAATTATTAATTTAAAATGGAAACTATCACTGAAAATTATTGTATTGTAATTATTCACTCATCCATCAAGTTTAAACATTTGCATGGAACGATAATTGAAATACACAGTACCGGAATCACTTGAAATTTAGATAAAATGCATAAACTTAGCAGATCATAAAATTGTCTCGTAAAAAATAGATTTTATAATTCATAAAACAATGCATACTATCTTATAAATGACACACTCCCTAAAGTTACACAAACTATCGCTGCTGCAATATACGCGATCATTACATTTCGAGGTTCACGACTGTCCGCAATATCCGTCTCATTCTGTCCAATATCAGTGCTGTCGTCAGCTACAGCATTTCCAACATTGTTCTCTTCCATCCCCATATTTACATGTCCTTGACATGATATGTCGTCAGACTTCCGGGCGCAGATTATCAGATCCTGATCAGAGACGTTGTAACCTGGTGCAGCAATATTCCCTGGTCTATCTCCATCAGTTCTGAAAGGAGAATCTCTTGAAACTCTGAGCTTCGTCTTTTCCATCTCCTTGTCAATGTCGATCCTCCAAATTTTTAAGGCCCCTGCTAGGAGTGTCGTTGTGTCAGATAATATCCATCCCAAGATAACCCCAGTAACTCCAAGATCAGTGAAGAAGATGGTCAGGATAATGAAAGGAAGTCCAATACCATAGCAAGCGATACTCATTGTCCAGGCTATGAACTTTTGCCGACCGAATGCTACGAGTATTCCTTGGTTGAGGCTATTCATAAAGTGATTGATTGGAAGGCCGAGGCACGCCAGCCAAAAAGTCCCATCGTATAAATCCATAATTTGCTCATCGTTGGAAAATATTTGCACCAAGTACCTTCTTAGGAAATAAGAAATAATAGCAAGGGGTACAGATTCTAGAGCAGTGTTAACAAGTGTCAGTTTTATGTAGAGTTTCACATTCTTTACATTCCCGTTCCCCAAAGCAGTGCCGATCAATGTTGCTGCTGTCCTGGCAATCCCGAAGGTAATTGCCCACCAAATTGACAATATTTGTACTAGAATGATTATAACTGACAGGGCGTTGCGACCATCGAACTGACTGCAAAATGTTGAAATTTCATACAGTGCCATCTCAGCAAAACAATTAATCGCTCCTGAAACTCCAAGCTTTACCATTGGTTTCCAGCCAATCAATGTTTTGAAACCAATCCCGCTCCAAACGAATTCTTCTCTTTTGACCTTGACAATAAAGATGAGCAGTGAAACTGCAAGAGGAACAGCTCGACCAATAATCGCTGCAATTCCAAGACCATTGACACCCATATTTAGAACTGAGACAAGACCATAATTAGCTGCCACATGAGTTGCTATCATTGCTCCTGAGACTATGTAGACAAACTTGGTCTGTCCTTGTACAGCAAAGTACTTGGAAATCATCATCACAGCATAATCTAAATACTCTACAAACGCTGTTAGTCTCAAATACTGTACCGCTATATCGCGGAAATCGTCCGCCACAATTGTCTCTTCCCCTGAATGGAGGCCTTCGGTGGGCAGCATATCAATAACATAGACGAGATTGAGATACGGTCCTAAGATTATCAGATGCACTAGTCCGCCTTGCAATAAACATTTTGTCAGCACTGTTCCCAGCTCACTGCTCTTCGCTGATCCGTGAACTTGTGGTCCGTACGTGTCAAACACGGAAGAGTAGCCGGAGGAAACGGCTAACACAAAAACGCCATACAAAGTATTAGCAAGTCCTACCCCGTCAAGATGAGCTTTGTCAATATGTCCAGCAAAGAGTAGTGTAATGAAGGCCATCATCACCCCTGTAACAATGATGGAGAGGAAGGAAATTGATAGCTTGGTAAACTCCCATTCTTTGGCAAGAACCTGTCTCATGCTGCTACTTGAGAAAAATTGGAGCATTGTGAAAGAGCAACAAAACGGTATAATTCGGTATTCAATGTGAATATTGGACGTAATAAAATTGATTTGCTCTTATCTTGATTCTGAAAATTTGTAATAATGAATAAATGATGAACTCTAAATTAGTGGCTGTGTTGAATGACATCATCCGCACGTGCGGAACAGCGTTTACCACTTTTTATGGCACACTTTTATTGGTAGTTTACGTGGCCCGAAATTGTCTGTAATTTGATAAAAATTTAAAGATTGTTGATAAAAATATCTCTGAACACATATTATATATTGCACCTACACTGTATATATGCAGGATTCACCCATTGCTGTCCGTGAACTACCAGGCACCACCGTAATTATATTATTAGATATAACAATGTCACGACCTACCTACCACTACCAGAAGCTATGAACTAGCTTCCAGTCTTGTTTAAACTTATCTTCAAGTCTCAGAATGAATCATGAATGTCTAATTAATGGCAAGGTGTTTTTTATTTTCCTCGAGTCTGTTAAAATTTCATACTGGTCAGACCGCATAATTATAATTGAGAGAATGATGCAATTAGTGAATTAGTACAACACAGCTTATCAATAACTGATGACGAGCAGTGAGCACTATTATTTTGGTGAGTTGTAAGCATTCGAATTTCGGTGCTTTAAATACCAAACTTTACTAATTTAAAATAGACAATGTTGAGGTTACCTTGCATATAATGTTTGTTGCTAATGTATAAATGTGGTTTACTGGCACACGTGACAGTAATTCTGTGGTTTGATTGGTCAATTGCTGTCACGTGTCAAAAAAACATGCCTCACCAGAATCCACATCTATAATATTAAATTAAGAATATCTGAAAATTATCTCAAGCTATAAATATAACAGCAAACAAAGCACTACTAAGCGGGAAATGTCAAAAGAATCTGACACTCAAAGTGGCACCAATATTGTATATTATTTTCGAACGGTTCTCTGATTATACATTTTTCTTCCGATTTAACTGAAATGCCGCGAATTAATTCGCGCGAATTTCATGCACCGGGTTACAGAAAATATGTGGTTTAGAAAATGAAATGGTTTAAAGAAGTTGTGAGGCTGCAACAACTGCGTAATGTGAATATGCTGTGGTGTGTCCATCCTGATGGCATATCGATAGCACTGTTGGTCAAGTGACCATAAAATGTTCTGAGTGAAATGATTTTGTTTAACTATTATCACTCCTTCATCAAAACTAATATCGATGAAATCGACCGAAAATCATTATTTATACTGTGCCCATATCAACCATCCAAAACATCAAAGGCACAGATTGCAAGATGAGTCTTGGTTTAAGTTAAACTGACAGCATCGAAAATTTGAAACTGACAGCATTGCAAATAATCAAACAAAACGACAGAAAATGGTTGACTTTATTGAAATCAAATCTAATTTGAAAACAATCACCTTTCGACTGCAATCAATGACCTGACATTACTTCAATACTTCCTTTGTCTTTATGATAATATGATAATGGACAATAGTGAACCTTTTCAATTAACCACGTGGCTTCTCAGTGACTATCATTTTCACTGTCTCTTTAGACCCACCCATTTCAGTACAAACGTGGCTGGCGGCAAACTCAATTTAGAAACCTGGAGCCTGATTATAATTTCGGGTCCTGTGAGAGACGATTTTTTGTTGCCACTCAAACTCTTTCATGATTTTATGTTCTATCACGTTTTTCTTTTCTTCAGGCCACCAAAGTTACCGCTAACTGATAATCTGGTTAGCGATTTTGTTCAGAATGGTATTCGATAATCATCTAATATTTACGTCTTCAGTTTACAAATCAGTGAAACACAAATTATGAGTGTATAGATGTGGATTCTCGTGCGGAAGTGAGGCACATTTGTTTACTTTTAATATGAAGTACCTGTTCAGCACAAGAAAGAGGTGATACACATTTTGTATTATGGAACGCTTGTAACGCTTGTAACTCCTGCTACCCTGGCCTTCCTGTAACCCCCCTCCCCCCCCCCCCCCCCCCCCCCCCCCTTTGAAGGTCCCGATTTATTTTCTGAACGAAAGCATCAAAATGCTGGCAGTTTATAACATACCTGTAAAGGTCACGACCGTCGGCTATATGTACCAAGGTCTTGAAGGACGATACAATTTAGACAGAATACTTGAGACTTGAGAACTTACCTACATTTTTACTTCAGGTTTAGAGAAAAGTCTGGAGGTGGAGCTCGTTGAGACAGTGCAGTAGAATACAACATTCCAAACATAACAAACTTGTAATGTTATTGTAACGACTAAAGTTGCCGAAGAATCAACATTTAAATCAAAACCCACACACTGAACGTTTATTAATGTTGACTGTTAAGATGTTACTAGTTAATCTACTATCTAGATCTTCTGTTGAGAAACTTCAAACTGCTATGTAAATAAGCTGTTAGTTTCGTTTATTTTCTTTTTGATACGCTGGATACTCTTACCACTTTGAACTTTTAAGGGTCAGGGTTGTTTATTGTAATTCAAAGACGGAGCTCTTGTAAAGTTATAGTAAGGTGGTGATTTTCATTAGATGAAGACTGGCCAGATTTGAACGTCATCCAATTTATTTTTTCAGTATTTTCTGGTTTTAATGAACTTCATTTAGATTATTGATTAAGATTTAAGACATATTGTTGTGTTAAATCTCAATTTCGATTGTATTTTAGCATCTTAAATTAATTTGTTTGGTACATTGCTCTGATTGATCACTGTGTTGAATGTATTTAAATTACATTAATAATGCCATTCAAAGATTATTCTAACTATGGTATGTACAATAACTGCCGTGAAGCATCATACAACTTACTCTATACGCTACAAATCGCTATAAATCCAAGAAAATTGAAAGTAAGCCTACCTTAACTAATATTATATGTAGTAATAATGAAAAACGTCAGTCATTTTATCAAAAATTAACATGTGACAACAACCTGCTATGCTCAGTTTAGCAGGATGTAAAAAAGAAGTACCCTAGACCTGGTCCCTCATGGCAAACCCCCATTATGCCTCCCTGAGTGGCATGCCTCTTCCCCCCACCTCTTCCACTTCCTCTTCTGACAAACTGGAAACTATTTCTAACTACGACACCGAGCCTACTCCCTCCTACTTCGATAAATCGGTTTGTTATTTATTTAGTGATAGTTTTATATTGTTGTTATATTATAGATAGAACTCCAAGCGATAGTAGAAATCGTTTTGATTTGAATTAAAAATGATATTGTTGAATTAAATTATAAAATTATACTTCAATCTAACAGGAACACGCTTCCGAGAAACACATATGATAATACAAGTAATAACTAATAACTAATTACATCTGATAATAATAACTTAATAATAACTTATCACTAGTTACATCTGATACTTATTACAATAATTCCAGTACTCGTACGACAAGTACATGGCGGAGTTCCCACGTGCACCTGGCTCACCCTCCAACTCCTCCCAAGTGGAGCTGCTCAGCCAGTTTGCGGACAGTAACTCCCACCAGAACCTCGAGCAGTTGCAGAGTGCCACAGGGTTTGGTGCTGGGTTGGTGTGTTTGTGCGCGGAGACTCTTGTGGGGTACCCCTTTATTGTGCTGCGTAGACAGTGTCAGGTTAGTCATCTCAACTTTGTTGCTGATTACCAATCAGTGGAGATTGTAGCTATTAAATTGTGGATACCTATTCTTATTAAAAATGTCTCATTGTTGAACAGAATTATATAAAAATAAGTTTAATTGGTTCTTATAAACTCAACAAACGTCACGGAAGTGGCATTTATCGCGCAGTATGATGATTACGTTTTTAAAATTATTATTTACAATTATTCCCAATTATTTGATAAAAGTTATGCACCCAGGTAAACATGTGGTGCAAGGCAGCTGATCTGTCCCCCTACCTCATGCTCAAAGCCATCTACCAAATACAGAAACGACAGGGAGTGCCCGCTCTGTGGAAAGGTTTCATATTATCATGTTACTGAGAAATCACATTTTCTTAATTAAGTCCCGTTATAACTTTGATTCGAGGAAGATGAACGCTTAGTTGGACTGATCTCTATGATCACTCTCATCCTAGTACTAGAATCCTCTGCAGTTCAATGTTGTTATTATTGGTACCATGATAATATTGTTTACATTATCCCTGTTTACATTCAGGGTTCACGTGCCACATGATGATGGAGGGATTACAACTCACTACTGATTCCTGTATATCCCACGTGACTCAGCTTCCTAAAGAGCTCCCTAGTTTCTCTGAAGGTTTGTTCTAGAGTTGGTTTTGTTTATGATTAACTTCATCAGATATCGATAAACAAAGTTGGCCTACAGTTCATATTTTAAAGTATCAATAATTAATGTCGATATAATCGTATTCAGAATATGCTCCCCTCCCGCCCCTCCTCACTCCCCGCCCCTCCTCACTCCCACACCCCTCCTCACTCCCCGCCCCTCTTCACTCCCCGCCCCTCCTCACTCCCCGCCCCTCCTCACTCCCCGCCCCTCCTCACTCCCCGCCCCTCCTCACTCCCCGCCCCTCCTCACTCCCCGCCCCTCCTCACTCCCCGCCCCTCCTCACTCCCCGCCCCTCCTCACTCCCCGCCCCTCCTCACTCCCCGCCCCTCCTCACTCCCTGCCCCTCCTCACTCCCCGCCCCTCCTCACTCCCTGCCCCTCCTCACTCCCCGCCCCTCCTCACTCCCTGCCCCTCCTCACTCCCTGCCCCTCCTCACTCCCTGCCCCTCCTCACTCCCTGCCCCTCCTCACTCCCGCCCCTCCTCACTCCCCGCCCCTCCTCACTCCCCGCCCCTCCTCACTCCCCGCCCCTCCTCACTCCCCGCCCCTCCTCACTCCCCGCCCCTCCTCACTCCCCGCCCCTCCTCACTCCCCGCCCCTCCTCACTCCCCGCCCCTCCTCACTCCCCGCACCTCCTCACTCCCCGCCCCTCCTCACTCCCCGCCCCTCCTCACTCCCCGCCCCTCCTCACTCCCCGCCCCTCCTCACTCCCCGCCCCTCCTCACTCCCCGCACCTCCTCACTCCCCGCCCCTCCTCACTCCCCGCCCCTCCTCACTCCTCGCCCCTCCTCACTCACGCACCTCCTCACTCCCCGCCCCTCCTCACTCCCCGCCCCTCCTCACTCCCTGCCCCTCCTCACTCCCCGCCCCTCCTCACTCCCCGCCCCTCCTCACTCCCCGCCCCTCCTCACTCCCGCCCCTCCTCACTCCCCGCCCCTCCTCACTCCCCGCCCCTCCTCACTCCCCGCCCCTCCTCACTCCCCGCCCCTCCTCACTCCCCGCCCCTCCTCACTCCCCGCCCCTCCTCACTCCCCGCCCCTCCTCACTCCCACAACCCTCCAGGTCTCACTCGGACCATGGGGTACGTGACCCTGAAGACTGTGTCCACCATCGCCACCCTACCCATCCTCTCCGCTGTACTCCTAGACACGGTGCAATCTGAAAGTGCACGTGCAGAGAGCGCGACCCCCATGTCATGTCTCAAGGATGCTATTTATAGATTTACTGGTAGCGGCTCTTCTTATCAGTACCGTCTTCTCCTGCCTGTCCATCAACTAATCATACCTACAGGTTAGGGAATCCTTTAAATATGCTATTGCTATAATATACGTATTATATATTTATACGTAGTATAACTGCTAGTGTACCTATTCGGATAATTCTATTTACGAGATAATCCCTCATTTATCAGTTCATTGTGCATGGTTTCGGAGTATTTCATGTTGAAATACTTTGAAAACAAATAATTGACTATTGAGATGTTACCAGATATACCGTTACAGTTGTTTATACACTAACCTGGGATCTGGTGGGTCACCTAGTCCACTCGTCCGTTTTAAAGCTATGTAAGATGCGACAAAACTCCAAACAGTCTGACAAAGACTCCAGAAGACAGCCCAATAATAATAAGCTGGTTTGTGCCTTGTGCCTTGTGGTTTGTGCCTTGTGGTTTGTGGTGCCTTGTTATTTAAAGTTCTCGCTTTTGTTTTCTTGCTCAATGCAGCAGCTACTCAGTTATGTCTCTTAAGTTTGGTAATTTTAAATTATAAACGTTACAAATCACTTTTGAATTGATCAATTACGCTATCAATTATTAATTATATTGATTGCTAGTAATGTTAGTAACGATTACAATACCATTACAGACGGAGAGTATATGGCCTGAGTTACTAGCCGGAACAGTGCACTGTTTTGTGGCTGACCTCAGTCTTCTTCCCCTGGAACTCATCATGAACCGACTCCATCTACAGGTATCTACACTTAGGTTATCAGCCTCCATCTTCAGGTATCTACACTTAGGTTATCAGCCTCCATCTACAGGTATCTACACTTCCTGAACTTTAAGATATCAGACGAAGATTAGGATAGGCACGTATGTTAAATTCTGTGCTTCTACCACAATTATCTATTGTGGCCAATCACGTTTGCAATTCAAATTTACATAAAATCTGATTACATAGTACCTACATACGATATGCAATTATGTATTTTAAGCTTTCCTGTAATTTACATTGATCTAAATGTAAATAGCCGTAACAAGGAACACTAGATTAGTTATATTATTGGCAAAAATAAAGCTAAGCAACACATATATTGTTTGTTACAACACTATTACCCCACAATTAAAGAAATCTCCCCAGGGAACACGTGCAATAGTAGACAACGTGCTGGACGCCCAAAGTGTGATCCCCTACCAAGCAAGCTACAACAACGTTCAGCAGTGTGTGGAAGCGCTGGTAGACAGCGAGGGTGTGCCCTCATTTTGGAAGGGCTGTTCCGCTCTACTGCTCCAATATTCCACCAGGTTCGCTGTAGTGCACACTGTTAGAATCCTGCTCAAGTACATTAATAATTTTAGTGATAAGCCCAGTTTGGTACCCAATGATTCGGCCACGAGTTTGGAAAAGTGAAGACTGTTTTCATTTTCTTTATTGTATTCTTTTTGTTTGCTTTTTTGTGAACGAAAATAACGAAAGTTTTGCACGATCAAGTTCTGTTGACTTTGAGAGGATTTTACATTCATGAAATTCTTGGTTTGATAAAAAAATGTTTAACGTAATGAACTATATTTATAAATTCTTTTCATCATGCGCTATCATCATGCACTTAAATGGATTATACATAATACGAATCTGTCTTTAGATGTATATTATCATTGTATGTAGATGAAAACTTATATTTTATTTTGATAAATATTAAATTGTCCCTTTCGTTTGTTTCAGAATATTCTGAATCCCATGTGAGATAATGGTAAATACGAAACCGGGATACTGAATACGAAACGCGCGAAGTCAAAATAGTATTAAGAAGATCTTTCAGCGCACGCGCGCGACATGATTGACATATATTATATATAATATATAACTTTCTAAACTAGATATTGATTTTTATATTAAAATATGTAATATATGTATATTTCGACCTATTATGCACTATATAAATCAAGAGGCTTGCATATAATGAACATATTGACACGGGTGCAGAGTTGAGTCTGTACGGAACCTAGTAGTTTCAGATCCTTGTTTAACTTGCCGTACAGCAAGGTCATCCACTACTTTAGCCCGGCGAGGCACATAACTCCCTCTACAACTCCATGACAAATGTTTCATATATACTAGCCGAGTTCACAAGTTATATCCTTGTGTTTGAGAAGAGCTCGTTAGAACTGCTTCCTCTAATATGGCAATTATAAAGCAATTTGACGGATGTTACTCGTCTAATAAATTTCTTCGAAGTAGCGCGCGCCGCTTTCTCGAAATATTAGTAGGGGGTGCACCATAAAAATAAACTTGCTCGGATTTTAAAAATTTTTGTACCATAGTTTTCTAGAGACTGTGAGAATTTTCACAATACCAAATTTGTCATACCTTTTTGGAAAGATCAGCGAGTTTCGCCTAGGTGCCATATTTGATGGTGCGCGGCTTTTGGAGCAAAATTAGCTGTAAAAGTCGCGTAATTTGACCAAATTTGACCAAATTCGTTGATTTTTGTCGTATTATTTGGATATATCTTCAGTTCCTTGAATGAGATCATTCTGAAAATTGGCGACGACCTTCCAATAGGGCTTTCACAACTGTCCGAAAAATTTGGTGGATATCAGAGTTGATATAGTGATCAAAATGGGACGAAATACGCTGCTTTTACATTTTAGCTGTAACATAATGTCTGATGGTTGGATATGCTTTAAACTTTTCGGACACTTTCCTTGTAAGTCTATGAGTAATCTTACCAATTTTTGTTGCAATCAGAGGTCGAGAAGGATACTTAATATCTATTTGTTTGAAGAAAATTGTGCTGGCCGAAATTAGCGCTAAAAAACCATCCTACAGTCGGCACGCGCGGCTCACTGTCGATGGCGCACTACCTAATATTAGCCAGAGGCAACTACATACTGATTCAGATTGCTGATACGAAGTAGCGTGCGATGCGCGGGTTAGGTGACGGCAGACGGGGTGAGTTCATTAACAATTAACAATCAACAATGGACAAATTGAAGTTTACTTAAGAGTTTTCGTTACCTAGCTTGCTAGTCTAATGCTCGCTACTTTCACGTATATGTGATATGCGAGAAGCTCGAAAAGCAAAAAGAACGCAGTTTCGTCGCGTGACAGGTGGTATGGGGACCTCAGGCTATTATGTTCATAATGATAAACATAGAGATTCGGCGGAATGACAGGCTGAGCGCGACCCAGTAAGTGAGAGGTAAGATTTTCGTACATTTTTACTGGGCGGCGCTCAGCCTGTCATTCCGCCGAATCTCTATTCTATGTTAATAAATATTTTCACCATTGCAGAAACCATTCTTGCGAGAGCATAAAAATAGCCATAGGGTTTAACCTAATAATTTAATAACCTGAAGTCTAAAGACTTTAAAACCATGCTCGATGCTACTTAATTTAATAATTTGTACTATTTTAATACCCACGATGAACGCTTATCTCCACAGCTCCACTCAGAAGCTGAGATATCTTGAAATAAGTGCATCAATCGCTACTCGCGAGAGCGTAAAAATGGGATCTGACCTAATAACTCAACAACCTGAAGTCTGAAGACTTTGAAACTATGCTCTACCCCACTCTATATGATGATTCGGACCATTTCAATGCCCAAGATGAGCGTTAAACTCCAATCAGAAGCTGAGATATCTTGAAATAAGTGCATCAATCGCTACTCGCGAGAGCGTAAAAATGGCCGATCTGACCTAATAACTCAATAACCTGAAGTCTCAAGACTTCAAAACCATGCTCTACACTCTACCTCACTCAATGTGATGATTCTGACCATTTCAATGCCCAAGATGAACGCTTAGCTCCAATCAGAAGCTGAGATATCCTGAAATATGTGCATCAATCGCTACTCGCGAGAGCGTAAAAATGGGATCTGACCTAATAACTCAATATTATTGAGTTATTGACAATAACCTAAAGTCTGAAGACTTCAAAACCATGCTCTACCCCACTCAATATGATGATTCTGACCAGTTCAATGCCCAAGATGAATGCTTAGCTCCAATCAGGAGCTAAGATATCTTGAAATAAGTGCATCAATCGCTACTCGCGAGAGCATAAAAATGGGATCTGACCTAATAACTCAACAACCTGAAGTCTGAAAACTTTAAAATCATGCTCTACCCCACTCAATATGATGATTCTGACCATTTTAATGCCCAAGATGAGCGCTTAGCTCCAATCAGAAGCGGAGATATCTTGAAATAAGTGTGATAATTGTTACTCTCGAGACTGCTAGTATAGTAAAATCGGATTTTTGGCGATTTCTCAAAAACTAAGTCTCTTAGGCCTTAAGTATCTTCATAGCATTAATATAAACATGCATCTTAGGCACATTTTGGTTCATGGCTGAGGTCTGTATCTCAATCAGAAGCCGAGATAATTTATAGTGGGGGTCGCGATATGGGTGCGGTCAAAAAGGGCGTGATTCCGAGAAATGCCCCACTGGTGAAAAAGTGTACCCGAGTCAATTGTGTTATTTAGGGTCATATAAGTCGAATTACATCGAGAAACTTAGCGAACGTCCCAATGTGAGCAGGACTTTTGCCTGGTCCAGGATTACCAGGTACGTAGTCGTAAGAACAATGAAACTGACTTTTATGTTATATTCCCTTTTGGCAAAGGGCATTCGATAATTATCTTTAGCCACAAAATGATACATCGATTTTGTTAGTGAGTAAGATATTCATTCAAATCATTACAGAAAATTTATCGAAAACAAAACTCTAGTTATTCAATACCAACAATTCATTGCCAAAACTAGTTGTATTCTTAAAACATCACACAAAGTATTCAAATCGAAATAATATTATATAGGGTAATATAACAACTTCATTGGAGTATGTAAAAGTTCTTAGTAATTTTCTAGTCAGGTGTGGAGAGCCAAAACCTTTCTGAGTAAAATTATATTAATCATACTATAAATAAACACCCGTAAATCCTTCATATCACCCTTGGTTGAAACCGTCTTTAGGTATATGCTACGGATTATTTTGCAGCAAATAAAAACATGGTCACAAGTTCACATATCAAATAGTAAAAAGAAATCAAATTAAAAATTTACGAAGCTCATTAGTAAAAAGTTGCACGACATATAACGTAAAATGAAACGTAATCAAATTGAAATGAAGAATGCATTTCCTCGAAAACGTTCATTTTATTTTCAGATGTCCACTTTTATTGAACATTTTCCCATAGTGAATGGAAATATACAACATAACATCAGCATAAGGCTTATTTAAATATTTACATCTCAAATGCCATTGCCACGACAAAGCACATACATTGGACAAACTTAACTCCGGCTGGCGAGAAAGAAAAAAAGGTGACAACTCAACAACTGCCAAGAGATTCATCAACTTGGTGCTGGTCTCTGACTCTCTTATCTACTTCAAGCTCATTTGAAAATCATTTTCGCGCGCAAAATAACTTCACCCTCGCCACCCCAGTCTCGTCCTTCAAATCTTAACAGAACAAATTCATCGGGTTGTCACACCAGGTTACCGTTTTGTAATTTCTGTTGCACCAACTCTAGGATCTTTTCAGCGCATATTTCAGCACATTTAGCGGCGTGATGCTCAGCGGGAGTGTTGTTCAGGTCCTCGCTTGCTCCTCCTGCTGACGCCTAAACAAATACGTGTGTTTGTTAAAAGACACAGATTAAACAAATAAAAGCGATGAGGTCGGGGTAAAAAATTAACAGGGTGATTGTTTGACATTTGTCCTGCGATTTAATAAAAGTTTTTAGATAACAAATCTTTTACAATTACATATCTAGTTAGCTAATCTCACCATGTTATCAGAGGATTTGAGTCGTCTCTGAAGGTCTGCTAACATATCCTTGTAAACAAGGTTTAACTTAGACAGCTGATCATCTCTACTTGCTGACGGCTTCTCTGCTAAAATCTGAAAAAAATTCGCGTTATATTAAAAATACGCGTTATATTAGGCCTCGACGAGCATTAAAGTCAAGGAAGTTTCAAAAATAATGTACTCGTAGTTGTAGAAACTGACGTTCATAAGTCTTAATGTTACGTATTGTGGGGACTAAAATAAGAAACCTGCCTTTCTGGAAAGAACTGACCTCATCGTATTTCGAGAGCGAATCTTTGAAAGCCGTGTGAAGGGACGTTATCTGATCAGGAGTATCTTTTTTCGGACCTGCTACTTCTTTCTTAGGTGCTGCTGCTTCTTTCTTTGTTTTCTGGGACATCGTATGGTTTTTCTATGGGAAAAAACTTTAGAGTTCAGTCGACAACAAACCAATTCCGAAAACTTTGAACATATTTTGGAAAAAGGTTTTCCCAAATAATTTAGTGGAGAATAAAGGATCTCCACAAGTCCGATAATCGCCGATCTCCAGTCGCCTGAACGTCCACAATTATCTTGGTTCAAGAGAGAAACACGAGAGAACTGTACTGGGAATAACATAGGAAGTAATTGTACAGTTTAACGGAACAACGTGTAAAATAAACACTGTACCACTCAGTTACCAGGGTGTAACCGGAAACAGTGGACCATCAAAAGAAGCTCGAACAACCTAATTATATAATTATCATGCTTGGAGTTCACCAAGTTTTGAGATCACGGACAGTCGTGTAAAGTTTTTTGCAAAAAAACACAGAAATGCATTTTTTGGATTTGGGCAATAATTTCAAGCCCCTCCACAAATCGACAAAAGTGCGTTTTTGGCTTACCCCCTTCCCTCCTAAGTACGAGCATTTCTGTACCCTCTATAGATGCCATGATCCCCTACAGACAACTTTCCTCGTAAAATTGGTATGTTAGTAATTTGATCAACTTAATTTTATTTAACCTTCAGGGCATGGGCATTAAGCTTACCTTCGCAGCAGCTTTCTCAAGTTTCTCCTCCTTTTTTATCTCTTTCTTTTCTTCCTTAGTCTTGCCTCCAAATGCTAACTTTAACTTGTTCTTCCCCTTTACTTTACCAGCGGCTTTCTTATCTGAGGTGATCATTTTATGCAAAATGACGAACTACCGTCGAGATACTTAGTTAGGTGTTAAACGTTAAAAATAAGATCTTGTTGTTGTTCAACTAAAATCGGCAGATGCTTGTGTTTCTGGGTGGTGCACGTTTATTTCTAATCAAGCTCCCTAAAATAACCAACATATTCTCCTGTATGGGATATTCTTTAATCTCATCCGCGTTACACCTGTCTCTAGATTCCAGTCTGCAAGATCTTGTTCATTGAAGTCACTCAATTCAAAATGATCAGACCATATTCGCGTATAGTTGGTCCTCATATCTCGCAGCCAAAGCCTTACGGCGTGCAGGGTGATCTCTTGGCACAAAATAATATTTCAAGAACTTTCTGTCCGACCGACTACCGGACTACTCTCTCTGTCTCCCTGAATCCTGTTAGAGCAATGTACAGGAAGATCCTCCAGATGGTTGGCTGGTCCGTTTCTTCTTCACAGTCGGCACCAGGTTACCATCAAACATGTGAGGTTGAAACAACGAACAGGAAGTGAACTGCAGCATAACCCCCCCAGAAACAAGTAACAATCTCGAGTTGTGAGTACGTTACTCATCACTACACCCGCTTTCTTATATAAACATTAAATATTGTGCTTGTTGCTGCAGAAGTTGGAGTTTTCGAACCTAATTGTGGGCGTGGGCGCCCAGGGAACTCTAATTTGATCAGATTTTCTAGCAAGTAACTAAAAGTAGTGATTTTAGTAACCACGAGGCTAACTTTTGTCTACATAATCTTTTTGGCTGGAGGCTATGGGGTCTTTAATTAATTCTATTTATTTGTGTCGCGTACAGTAAAAACACTCGCGTACAGTAAAAACACTCACCATCTTTCGCAGACTTGCTGAAACTCCTGCAGAAAATCATTTTAATGTAAATTTCTAGAGGGTAAAATCGAGAATTACACTGGATGTAAGGATTAGAAATGGGAATGAATAAAAAAGCAATGGTACACGATGAAAGTAAGATAAATTAAAACAGCAACACAGGTGGACAAAGCTGCCTAGAAAGTTAACTTAGTAAGTTAATATGATCACCTGTCAGATGATGCTCCAGTTGATTCAGAAGCAGTTTTGGCCAGGGCCGCCATGTTCTTACCAGAGGAGATTTCCGTATCCGACTGGGGAGGATTGGGGTAAGATAAATTTAAGTAAACAAATCAAATCAGTATAGTTGATATCATGCGTTGCTGTTGGAAAGCTGTACCTATTGTCCCTGTATCAATTCAGTAGCAGGATTCAGCAGGAGGAGAAAATAATTTTTATAGAAAACAGAAGAATTTAATTTTGAAGGTTTCAGCAGATACTGCAATAAGCATAATATGAGCAATAATAACAAGGAAACATGTAAGATCACTGTGCTTTACACCAAATTTACACCAAATAACTTCCGCCACTCACTTTGAGGTACTCTACCGAACTAGACGAAGTATTGTCGTCAATCTTGGCCAATTCTACCTTCAGAGATTTCACAGACACCGAGGATCTGCGACGAATAACGAAATCATCGTTGTCACATGACCCCGCGGAGGCTGATTTAAAAGCAGCTGAATCGGTGCTGGACAGGGAACCTCTCCGATCAGAGGGGAGTTCCTGGATTGTAACAGGAAGGTGAGGAACTCCCGGCTTTGAGCATGTTGGATCAACTCGGAGTTGGCGCTGAACTTCTCCTTCTTTTTGGCTAGAATCTTGTTCTCGACAGCTTGCTGCACACAAAACATCAGACACACGAATAACAGTGATTTACAGTGAGTGAAAGATCAGTATCAGCGAGCGGTTTTTAACTCTATCACGAAGCCACCTCATATAATTCAGATCGTGATAAAATTATTACAAATTCAGTAAACATATTTTATCTTTTACTGCCCGCTGTTACTGTTGCTTCACAGAATCAAAGGATAAAATCGCAAAAAGAAATAGCATTTAGAACAGAGTGCAGTGAAGCAAGATTAGCAATCACGTGCTTTACAAAAGCTTGCCAAACACAGAGTGCTGCAGAGACAAGAACCACGTGATTCACCACGTGACAAATCAGTTAACACGTGACGTTACAGTGACTTACCCTGACTCGGTCGGGAGATCCTGGGTTACTGAGCGGAGATGAGCCCTGATAAGGAGAGAATTACAGTGGTTACATAAACATATAAACATTTTGATAAAGTGTACTGTTTATATAGTGTTTATAAATTGTTTTACTGGTTACACACAGTTCATTATTGTCAAATTCTAGTGCTTCCCTTTTATCAGTACCCTGGTTTTGTGCAACACACAACAAAGATAAACAGGTGCCTCTACCCTCTAGATGTGTGACCAAGTGTGTCACTAATACAATTGGTGTGTTTAGTTTGCATAATTCAACACTTGTCATGGGGAGATGATAAAGCTATGTTTTACCACGTGACAGAGATAGAGAAGCCACAGAATAGCCACGTCTTTTAACACGCTATAATTAACTTGCATCACCTCCCTGATTGTTAAAAAGAATCATAGAATACAGCTCTTCTTTGTTTTAAGTGAATAGTTAGTAAAACAACCCGAGAACCTTGTTAACTGGAGAGAGGTCTGGAAATAGTTTGGGATAGCAAGCAGCTTTGTAAAAGTTTCTCAGTGATAAAAATAACGAAAACGTGGTGTGTATTAAGCTCCGTTGTGGCAAATTCACAAATATAACCAAAACGAAACCATGACATAGCATAGCTAGAATCTAGATACATATCACTGCTACTTATTAGCTAACAACTTCAGTAAATATTTCAATTTAAATCTGGTATGTAGCAACATCAAACATTACTTCGTCTGCAGAATCCATGGAATCCAGGATACCCTAGGTTTGCCAACTCAAAAGAGCAGAACAGTTGAAAAAATGGTTGGAGCACTGCATGTAATAACAATGGAATGTAATTACAATCTACATGGTATGTAGTATATATACGGTAAGATTACTCCTACCTGGTTGCTTCACAAATGCTAAACAAACTCAAATTGCTTGTGTAATTTGAGGTTGATCACATGTTCTGCATTGTTCTGCGCAACGATTAAAGCATAAAGAGTCAATGAACCCGTCCGCTGAGACGTTGGAATCTGACTTAATTTTGGGCAACAAACCAAAATACGATGAAGAAGAGATGAATAAAGCACGAATGAAAATATTTGAATGATTCATGTAATAAGTTGGATGAATATAATAGAACTTATAAGTTGTTCAAGTGCTTGGCGTTTATAAGGTAAAAGCATAATATTTAGCTTCATGTTAATTGCTACTTTTAAGCTTCACAGCTTTCCATTTTTAGCTTTACTTTTTAAGCATGATTTGTTAGCTTCACATTTGTTAGCTTTACAGTATAGCGTTACAGTTTATAGCTACATTTTATAGCGCTTACCTTTGTTTGTCTTGGGCCCAAGAAAAATCTCAAAATCTGATAATTGACAATTTAAAAACTTGGTAAAAGCAAATGATATGTAGACTTGACTGCGAGCTGGGAGGAAACACAAGTGACAACAACCTCCCAATCAACTTGCAGCATTCGACTAAGCTTATCACTGTCACGTGGAAAACAAACTAAGTTCCAACTCGTAGTCAAGCCTTAAATCAGTTAAATCTTGCTGTAAGCTGTGTTTACTTATTATCTATTTTTTATAAAAGCATACTTTTGAATTTGTTCACTTCTTTTAGTAAACAACTTTAAACTTTAACACCCATCCTGTTATATTTGGAAAAAATTCCTATTTTGAGCGGTACAACTACATGTCGCCTAGCAACCACATATTTAGAATTCTCGTTAGACCTCCCAAAGCGCTGTTAATTACAGACTAGCTGATATAATTCATTTCCGTAATTAACAACTTCAGACAAAGTGGGCTGGAGTTTTGTCTGCAGTTAAGGTTATGAGGTGTCCTCATCAGTTATCACGCTTATAGCTATGGATTTGTTGTGACACGTGACATTGATTCTAGTTTTTTATTGGCCAATTCTGGCAGCTGATTGGTTAATCGTTGTCACGTGTGGGAACCAGTATCCAAGTCTTTAGTTATGCGCTGTTTATTAGATGTCTCCTGGAAAATGCTAACTAGTACTGGGTCTCAGGACGGTTTACTAAAATCAGCGAGATTATTGAAATGTTTGTGAGAAGTCGGTTTCGTCGTGCAGTGAATTGTGTGAATTGAGTGTTTATTCTCACGGCGTATACTAGCCAGCATCTTTACTGACATATTTATATTATGTCCGTATTAAAGCTATTATCAGTATTTCACAGCCAGAAGTTTGGTTTGAGTCGTTCACATATTATTACGTAATTACTTTTTGGTCAATGTTACCCACCCCCCCCCCTCCGTAATCAGTATTACACATAGCTATTGAGTCAAAATAACACTAGCGTAATCATTTGGAAACCCCCCTACCCACTCGGCTGATTACGTAATATGCGAACGACCCCTTTTCAATCTAGTCCGCTGTCGTATTTTAAACTTTTTGCCTAACAGTTTGGTCTCTAATCAGCATCTACTTTGCTTCACAAATCATCCTATAACTCTGAACCCCTGCTCATCCCAACTGACCCCACTCTCCACACAGCACCATGTCCACATTCTCCCTTCTCTTCATGACGTCATCACTCCTCATGACGTCATCAGGAGACACCTGCCAGCACCTCAGAGTGTACCTAGAGAACGCTACTGTGACCACCCGGGAAAGACTTGCACGTGATGCAATCCAGGCCCACAGATCTAACCCCGTCTCTCAGAGAAATTTGGAGTATTGTGAGGCTGCCGGGACTGGCTGCTGTACTAGACTCAGTGAACAGGTAACTACTGTCAGGCTGCCGGTACTGGCTGCTGTACTAGACTCAGTGAACAGGTAACTACTGTCAGGCTGCCGGTACTGGCTGCTGTACTAGACTCAGTGAACAGGTAACTACTGTCAGGCTGCCGGTACTGGCTGCTGTACTAGACTCAGTGAACAGGTAACTACTGTCAGGCTGCTGAGACTGGCTGCTGTACTAGACTCAGTGAACAGGTAACTATTGTCAGGCTGCCGGTACTGGCTGCTGTACTAGACTCAGTGAACAGGTAACTACTGTCAGGCTGCCGGTACTGGCTGCTGTACTAGATTCAGTGAACAGGTAACTAATGTCAGGCTGCCGGTACTGGCTGCTGTACTAGACTCAGTGAACAGGTAACTAATGTCAGGCTGCCGGTACTGGCTGCTGTACTAGACTCAGTGAACAGGTAACTACTGTCAGGCTGCCGGTACTGGCTGCTGTACTAGACTCAGTGAACAGGTAACTACTGTCAGGCTGCCGGTACTGGCTGCTGTACTAGACTCAGTGAACAGGTAACTAATGTCAGGCTGCTGAGACTGGCTGCTGTACTAGACTCAGTGAACAGGTAACTACTGTCAGGCTGCCGGTACTGGCTGCTGTACTAGACTCAGTGAACAGGTAACTACTGTCAGGCTGCCGGTACTGGCTGCTGTACTAGACTCAGTGAACAGGTAACTAATGTCAGGCTGCCGGTACTGGCTGCTGTACTAGACTCAGTGAACAGGTAACTAATGTCAGGCTGCCGGTACTGGCTGCTGTACTAGACTCAGTGAACAGGTAACTAATGTCAGGCTGCCAGTACTGGCTGCTGTACTAGACTCAGTGAACAGGTAACTAATGTCAGGCTGCCGGTACTGGCTGCTGTACTAGACTCAGTGAACAGGTAACTATTGTCAAGCTGCCGGTACTGGCTGCTGTATTAGACTCAGTGAACATGTAACTACTGTCAGGCTGCCGGGACTGGCTGCTGTACTAGACTCAGTGAACAGGTAACTACTGTCAGGCTGCTGAGACTGGCTGCTGTACTAGACTCAGTGAACAGGTAACTACTGTCAGGCTGCCGGGACTGGCTGCTGTACTAGACTCAGTGAACAGGTAACTACTGTCAGGCTGCCGGGACTGGCTGCTGTACTAGACTCAGTGAACAGGTAACTACTGTCAGGCTGCCGGTACTGGCTGCTGTACTAGACTCAGTGAACAGGTAACTATTGTCAAGCTGCCGGGACTGGCTGCTGTATTAGACTCAGTGAACAGGTAACTACTGTCAGGCTGCCGGGACTGGCTGCTGTACTAGACTCGAAGTGAACAGGTTTACGTGATTCCCAATGCCTCATGCACAATAATGGCCGATAAATCTACATTTTAGGACTTTAACTTTAACACCACACAATCCTCAGGTGTTAAGACGCACAGCATCAGACTCCTTCCTAACCATTACCTACTTCATGATACTGGAGAAGACCCAGGAGGCCCTCCTCCGACTCCTTCATCAGATCAAACAGGAAATACCTCAAGTAGTGGCTGTGGCTGATGGGCCGGATACAGCTGACCTCATGAGACGGTATCTGATTGAGGGGGATGTTAGTGTCACTCTGGAACACGTGACCGATGCTAAACTTGTTAACTTTGTCTCCAGGCAAGAAGAAATCAGCACATTTTAATTGATCATCAAACTTTTAATGATAGAAATTGTTTTAGTATTCTGTCTCTTTTTGAGACACTCGTTTTAGATAATAGGACTGGTCAAACCTAGAATACCGAAACAATGAGTCAGCAATTAAATCTTTTTAATTAATTAACGAATTAACTTATTAACAATTGAATCTCCCTTTCCAGGATGTGGAGTCACACCTGGGCGGGTCACTGTTTCAACAGTCTGAACAGAACCAAAACAGAGACAGCCATCAGAGTGTACACCACAATGTCACAGTATAAACACATGATAAGAGGCATTGAGACAGCCGTGGAGTTCATCCCCAAACTGCGAACATATGCGGAGGAGCATTTTAGTGAGCACTGTAAGGACGCGCTGGTAAAGGCAGGGTTATTCGAGGGAGCTGGATGTCAGATGTGCGCTCCCGGGATAGGTTTGTTTTAGTTCCATTGCTTTTCTAGGATAGGTTTGTTTTCAGTTTCCTTCTTTTTTATAATAGGTTTGTTCTTAGTTTCCACTTATTTGTTTAATTTCAGCTGGAGCCCCAGTTTGCTCGGAGTACTGTCTGAACGTAGCTAAAGGTTGCATGAGGCCCATACTCTGTTACGTAACCCAATGGGAAGAGTGGATCAGACACCAGCAGTCAATAACCAGAGAACTCCTCGCCGTCTCAGGGGAACGGAGGAAGTTTCTAGGAACACTGATGACCACCTTTGAGACGGAGATGTTAGAGCACGCTCCACAGTACAGGATATACGGGGAGTGCACCCCACCAGAGACCCCCACTAAGGGGGAACAAGCAGTGAAATACAAAGTTGCCAGTCTGGTCCCTCCCGTCCTCCTCCACTCACGTGACCTCTTCATCAGACGGTTCAGTGATCTCCTCACCTCCCTCCCTCAACAGTTCTGTGAGGAGATGATGGGCAAGCAGCCCGTCACGGAGAACTGTTGGAACGGGCTGGACACTTCCGGGTATCACAAACCTCCCTCCCTCTTCAACATGGAGGATCAGAAGTGTAACCCGGAGGTGCTGCCAGAGCGGTTACCCTGTGATCTGGCTACTGCCGGTAAGAACCTGGAGTGCGACAGAGGGAGTTATCTGATGACTGGGTACGCGGCTACTCCGAGCGTGGAACCACCGGGCAGGGCTGGGAGTGGCAACCTTGTGGGACACCCAACTCAGCTTTATTTTTGTTTGTTTGTGTCAGTTTTTGTGTTGTCGAGGTGAAATGTTGATGACCACGACGGAGGAATTTTCGTGAAATATTGTAATGGTGTACGTGTAGAGGAAATGCTTAATTTCACCCTAAATTTTGTTCCAGTAATTTATACATTATAATTGTTAATTCGATGCGATATTTAAAGATTTAATTGGTTTTCATTTTCGCGAGATTGGATTTCTGTTTTATTCAAATAATTTGCTAAAAGTACAACTTTTCATAAGAATGGAACCTTTACCTTTGATCGAGGAGTCTCAGGATGTCCGTTAATATTAGCTTTTAATTTCTCAGGGGTGCTAGATTTGTAGAACTTCCTAGAAATGCTCTGTCTGTGTCTGGAGTTAGGACTCAAACTGTCGCTTGGCAGGTCCTGTACAGTGGGCACATCTTATTTATATCTCAAGTTGGTAGCCGAATTGATAACTTACCAGCTCCAATCAACCCAGAAAAGAAACATAAAAGTGAATCACGTAATTAAAAAGTAAAATCTTTTTTTTATTAATGTGTAATGGTTTATATCAAGTTTCCTAACTACACTGCTAGATTTAAATGCCAGTTTTTAGCACGTGACATATTAAACGTACCAGGTCGAGGTCGTCAAATTCCTCGTCAATCTCAGAGAACTTGTGTTTGAGGAAAGAGTCAGACTTAATTTCTTCCTCCTCAACATCGTCAAGTTCACCTTGAAACCTGTGACCGTGTCTTAGTTCATTGTTTATTAATAGGTTCAATTGTAATTAGTTAGATGGTTGAGACCTCTCCCAGATCCCTCTAGAAATTATAAGAATGTATCTCACGTGGTATCCTGATCATCCTCGTCCTCATCAGTCAGTTCAGTGTTCTCACTGGTGGTTCTTGCTTTTTGGGGTGTCACGTTCACGTCGAAAATCGCGCTGGGGTAATCAGTTTTTTGGTTAAAAGGAAACATTTAGATTTCCAACTGTAACTAAACGGTAATTGTATGAGCCTGTTCCAAAATGTCAGAAAATCAGTCTAAACAATGCAGACAGAAGTTTAAACACAATAACATACCTTAGCCTCTTCTTAGCGTTGGGAGAGAAGACTTTAGCAGGAGCGTAGATAATGACAGGCTCTGAATCATCCTCAGCACTAGCTTCATCCTCCTCCTCCTCTTCTTCCTCTTCAAACCCTACCTCGCCACCCTGGACCTCCACTGTGACCTCCTCCTCTGTTACAAGTGGTTCCTGTGGTTCTGCTTCTGCTGGGATCTTGGGGCTCTCGAATGACATCTTATAGGAATGAGTTTCACTGTCACAATTCAAGGTTACCAATATTAATGGGGAAAGGCATTTCATTTAATTCATTAGATTCGTATGGAAATAAGTTTGCAACGTGATCGATGGCAACATCATCAATAACATCATCAATAACATCATCGATGTTATGATTTTATAGTGTCACACAACACAAGGAGAAGTGATTAGAGTACAAGGAGAAGTGATTAGAGTACAAGCAGATATTATTAGAGTACAAGCAGATATTATTAGAGTGCAAGGAGATATTATTAAAGTACAAACCAGGTCAGGATGAACGTGTTCACCTCCGTCCGGAGCTGTTCTCTTAGCTGCTGGGTTTGCTGGAGTACTGAAATAGCAATATTTATTACTGGTGATTTGGGCTAACCTTTACCTTTCATTACAGATATACAGAGAGACCAACTGAATAAATTCATCACTTGTAAGCCAATGGCCACTTAACATTGTTGGTTTTTTGCTTGTATCAACTTTGGTAATCAAATTAGTAACCGAGGAGAACCATCAAGTAAGTCACTCTTAAACCAAGCAACTCAGAAAGTGATGGCAGAAACTTTCTCACCAAGGGGTCATAGCCTCATTGGGGGTTATCTCGTCCAGGAAGTTGAGGTTGGAAGGTTTGGCCCACTGCTTCCGCTTCTTTTCCGGGGTAGATTGTTCGGTAGTTGAAGTGTCTGCTAGTTGACTCTCAGACGCTTCAGATCTGGTAACATTATGTGATTATGTGGTGGTTGAGGTGATACGGAAAATGTTTTCATTGAAGGGACAATAGCGATTTTGCATCCACCTTTCGAGATAGCGAATGAGGATTGGGAACAGTGGCGAAACGACCACCCCCACTACTCCGTGGCGGTATTTTTGTTTTCAGTAAGGTCCCATGACTCAACAAAGAATTGAGATGATTTAGACTACTACTTTTAGACTCACGTTTTGGTGTCACTAATAAGGTCCATGATGGGAATAGCATATTCACAGTGAGGGGAGGTAGGGGCCTCTCCTTTTTTATTAGGAATGGGAGTTTCAGCGCTTATCTCCGGTTCGAAGCCCTGACCTCTCATTTTGGTCCTGATGTTCTTTACCACCTCGTTACTGAGTCTCCAAACAAATATACAGCTGAGTGGTGTTACTTTGTTACTTGGGAGTTTGGCGTGAATTTTAGTCAGAAAATTATGTCACCTTAAATATAAGGAAGATGAAAATTAAATCACAAAAACTTACCCATCACCAGAAATTGAGATCAGCCGTTTACAGTCGTTTGTAAACTTTAAACCGGTGATCATCTCTGAAATAAATCTAAGATAACCTTCTGAAATGTCAAAGAAAACCGAATTGTTCAAAATTGAGAATATTCTGTTTTATGCGTACCCCAAACCTTACTAAATGAACTCAGCCCCAAGGTGTTAGATAGGTTATCATAAAAAAGGTCATTTCTCAAATGAACTAACCTGAATGACCGTGCAAGCTAGCCAGCCTATCTCCACTCTGAAGATCATGCACGAATATGCTCTTATCATTCCCCGCTGCAGCTAGGTAAGTACTGGAAGGATCCAGGGCTACGTTAGTTATCATTCCACCGTCTTCAGAACTACCGCTCTTAAAACTGTTCAGTAGCTTGCCAGACGACAAATCGTATGTTCTGAGGATGAAGGTTTTAACATAATGCTGGAGTAGGTTATTTAAGATGCAAGTTGAATTTATAAAAAGTCTGTTGACGCATTAAATCATGTGGTTCAGCGATCAGCGGCTAGATAACCAGCTGAAGTCAGTGCAGTCCAGTCAACACTATAACCGTGGAATCATTTAATAAGTCATCACCATTAGTGATATTTTACAGTTAATCAATAAATGTTCATATCGAATAATAGCGACATTTAAATAAACGAACCTTATTTGTCGATCCTGACAGCCCGTTATGACTCGGTCCCTGAAATTGAAACATATTACAACTTGTGACGGTTTTAAATATCCATCTCGCATACCGTGAAGTCAAATCTGAAACAATTTCAGGAGTCTAGAAGAACAGAGGAAGGTGAGCTTGACGTCACCATCTAATGATCACCTGGCAGCTTGAACGCAAAATTCTGACAATTTCTATTGCGGAATGCGTTCCGTTTATAACTGAACAAGTATTCACTAGGATTGTAATGTAATGTCCTCCAAAAGTTACTGAGAACACAAACAGTGTTCGGTATGGAAATCCTAGTCATTATTATATTTAATTCCCGAATGCATTTGCATAACCGCCAACTTCAAACGCTTTTATTCGTTAAATTCTACAAAGTCAATAACAAGTTCGGTCGTGCGCGCGGTAAACTTATATAGTGATGTCTACGCGCGTGCCTGTCGGTAGAATAAAATGTTTTTTGAAATTTCGACTACGGAAGCCGCACCACTTAAGTGACTTAACAATTCAGAATTTAAAACCTTATGGTCAACATTCAAAACATTCTAACATAAAGGTCGAATGACGGATCATGCAGTTTAAAGAATATCACTCGTCAGTAAAGCAATCTGACGCAAATTGGTCTTAATCCAATCGCAGATTAATTAAAAATATGTTAGCACTTTTAGCGGTGAGAACTAAGAAGACATCATTTAAGTCATCATATAGGGAAAAATTCACAGAAAATTCTCATGGCATGATAATGAAAGAAAATAAACAGTAAATACCTGGATTGTGGGATTTCCATGTCATTAAAGGTAGACTTCTCTTGGACATGCTGGTATGTTTGGAACTGAAGTTGATGACTGCCCTGAATAGAATTCCAATCGTTACATACCAACACGGTGATAAAACTCAGAATGACATCATAGTTTTAGATTTACACTCGAAACCCGAAAGTACGGTGTCGGCTGGGTGATACTCACAGTTTTAAAACCGGTCCGAAACCGGACACTTTTATCCGCTGAGCAGGACAGCAGTGTCAGCTGGGAATCGTTGGGTTTTTCTGAAAAATGTCGAGCTGGGATATTGCATCAGTATTTTAATTGCGTCCTTTAAACATGGAGACATATGTATATATTGCATATTTAGTAGTAACATCATACACATTATCAGGTTCGCAGTTCTATAATTCAGTACACTGTGGACTTCACTTATGGTGGGAAGGTATATTCGCTCTCAGATCTATTATCTTGGAATACAGTTTACGTCATCTCGCCACCAAAAGTAAAGTTTAACGATCTGGAATCCAGATCGTTTGGTTGGCCTCTGACAGCGATCAACCAATCGGCTTCCATCAAAACCCAGGATCACTGTCACGTGTCAAAACCAATAACCTACAAGTATCAATATCTATTATTATCCGTGAAACCATGCTCCTCCACAAACTCACCCACAAACTTAACACTGGTAACAATAGCTGAGTGATCACAGATCGTCTGGACCAACTCATACCCCTTCCTCACATCAAACACGTGTATAAGCCGGTCTCTACTGGCAGACACCAGATAGTGCCAGTAATTGTCAGGTCTCGTAAAGGAGAGAGATAAGATCTCGGCTTCGTGTCCGATTATCATGGCTAGCTCCCTGCAGGACAGGTCTTCTAGGTCGTATACTCTGAGGGAGAGTCAGGGCGTAAGAAAAATATAGGCAGGACGCGAGGAGTGTGACGTTATAAGTTTACTTATGATTCCGTTTTAGATTTATAATCATGTTTAAGATTAAAAGTTACACTCGAATCATTATCCATAATTTTATGTTCTCAAGAACAGAATTGCCGAAGATTAGAATTTGGATTATCTTAGCTTCTCTCTCTTTTTCCCCTCATCTGTTAATAATTAGGAGTATTTCGGATTATTCAACCCTTAAAGGATCTGCTTTAACAATATTCAGGGTTAAATCATCCACTGCATTATGAATTAGTTAAATCTAAACCAACTCAGTTTTTGTAATTTCGCGACCAGGCCCCAACAAAACCCACACCCGATATCAACGTACCAGAATTACTGGTTTACACTCAATTTCTCGTGGCAGCCCGGTCTTAACTCAGCCTAGATCATTGACTGATATCAGTTTTACATTGCTAATTAGTCGATATAATTAGAGTTATCTCACTCTTATTGTGTTATCACTTATCTCTAATAATATATAATATTGTTTCAGTGCTATCAGCACAGATCTTTTTCTTCTTCTTGCATATTTTATTTTAACCACATTCAAACAACCAAACCTTCTATTATTAACTATTATTAACTATTCTCACAAACACACACGCACACATGTTCCCAAGTGACCACAATATAATAAAATTCTTTTATTTTCACCTTAAGGCACTTAGAGGCACTTAGCCAAGATAAAGGTAAAAATATTTTGCGGAATGAAGATTAACAATACTGTTAATCACATTAATTAACAACATTTCGGGATCCTTCAATTAAGTGGTGAGAGTACTGTTACAAAAGTTGAAAGTCTTCAGCACCATCATCGGCTCTATCATAGATCAACTTTGTAACAGATTGTAGAAAACATTATATCATCAGCATGTTACTGTCTAGTTAAAACACGCAACATTTTAATATCATGCACGATCTAAACAAAAAATTAATAATTTCATTATGTAGATAACTTTTTTAATTAGTAAACCGTTAAATTTCCACACATGATCATCAGTAGTGCAAGTGTTGATAATAATGTGTAGACAGACAGACAGACAGGTATACAACTATTGACACTATGTTTACATGTTTTAATTGGCTGAGCGTAAATACGCTAATTAGTAATAAGTTGACTCTGCCAGGATTAGTTTAATTGATCCTGTATTTTACAATGTATCTAGGGATATGTATCATGATGTGAGTTGATTCTGGATATATGCATTATGCACTGAGCTGTATCTAATTGGTGTATACCACGTGACCTGATGGTATGTCAAGGATGATTTGCATCAAGTAACTGATTCAATCAGAATTAATAAAATCACCAGACAGAACACTACAGTAAACCCCGATTAACCGTACTATTTCCCTTCCCCAAACTGTGCGGAAAATTCGGGGTTTAACTGTTCTAAATCTCCAGCGAGATATATTTTTTAAAATTTCTTTAAAACGCCCCCGTAGCTAGCTATATACTCTATATAGCAGAGTAATGCTATACTCTACAGTATAATTTTCATTCTGTCTGCTATGTTAAACCCACTGTTTAATACAGCTATACTTATTATTAACTTATATTAATACTTTAATAGTGATATTTACCCTCCTACTTTCTAAATATAACTAAAAACAGTACCCCTCCAAGTTTAACAGAGCAACAACCCAACAACTACACCCCACTTTCAGCACCCAACAACCCAACAACTACACCCCACTGGCCACTTTCAGCATCACACAACACACCACACCTCTCTGTTCCCAACCTCTCATTTAACGAAACCATAGAAACCACGCCCAGGTGACAGCGTGTCCAAATACAAGGTAATAAGTTTACTAAGATTCTAACATTTGGGGTGCACTTGTCTGTGTGTTACCAGCCGACACACACTCTCTAAAAAGTCAGGTAAATCTAGCTTGTTAGTTGTAACTATCCTAACTTGAAACGCCACTTTATGGTCAACACGGCGCCACTGTTACCAATGTTAGTGCGGTTATATATATATTATATATATCATATTAACTGAACCGTTAGTGCCTGTCCACCAAACTACTGTGTAGTATGTGTAGTATGTACCAAGTACTAACCTTTCAATCTCAGTTAGCTCACTTTACTGATTTACAAGACAAGCTTTGCTTTATACACTACTGGTTTATTATTACATTATAATGTAGCTTGAAAACTGAGTAACAATAACTATTCTGTTATTAATTAACAACCTAGTAACAACCTAATGTTCATTAGGTTTAACAGCTCCTACTCTACACTCCACAAGAGACACTAACGATATAGACACTGTGTTTACACCAAGCAATACCAACAAGACACTCTCTCGGAGAGCTCCAGACACTGTCACGTGACACTTACACTTTACTTTACAATCTAGACCCACTCGACACCTTATACGAGACTGACATTTTAATCTACACTTCAAACTGAAAGGAATGTGTGGTGATGTGGTGATGAGCTGTACCTCTAATTTGCGGGTAATTGAGAGTAACTTTTGTAGCTTTTAGTCGGGAGTAGACCACTAAAATAGTTGGTGCGGTGAAACGCGAAGAGAAATGTACTTATTCTTCAACTGCGGGCTGTGATGTCTTATTTTTTAATATATATTATCTTCCGTTTTTATACGTTAAAATATGAATCCGACAATTTGTTCAGATGTCATTCCGAGAAATAGCGTTTTTATAATAACTTGATTTATTGGCTGTTTCCTGGACCCGACAGCATATTGTGGACATGTCGAGACTCGAGTAGCTAGATTTAAATAATTTACGCTACATTTCAGCGCACTGTGTGATAATTATTTGCGAACAAGAAATTTGGCACTCCTAAATCCAGTGTTTACTAGTGTCTAGTACAGACAATTCCTTATCAATAACACCTGGACACACACACACACACACACACACACACACACACACACACACACACACACACACACACACACACACACACACACACACACACACACACACACACACACACACACATTACTTTACAGCGAGATTAGGTTCAGTACGGCTCTGACGAAGCTTTTTACGTAATCATGGGTCTTACTGTTTGTAATCTGACCCTGCAATTGGAAGGGAATATAATTGGACAATCTAATAGAACACTAAGTACAAGTAGCAGGAGTTGTGAATAAGATGCTTCGCTGCACTTTAAAGCATGAACTCTTAGATTAAATTTACCGCTACTTTATCTTCAACGCACAATAAGAAGTTCAGACATATGGTCATATTATGTTAAAAACATAATACATTTCAGCCGTTTAAATGCAATTAGAATTTAGATGTAGGTTTAATGTTACACACAATTTACTTTCTATGCGTTATACAACACTAAAGATAAAACACACCCCACGGCCCACACCTGTTGCAATAAATAATAAGAGGAGTAGTAACCTACCTATGTGACCTATGTAGAGGACAAAGGTTATAATAAAACGTGCACTATAGCTGCCTGCGTGTACAATGTTCCACATAAATGCGGGTTAAATCATCAGGTGGTGTCCCTGTGTTTCTACGTTGACTGTGAGAGATTGTTGTACGGTAGAACTGTAGAAGGTTTAGGATATAAAATGCTGGATTAATCGCCTGTGTTTTCATAATTTGGTAACAAATTCTTGTCAGAGAATTCCGTTTTATTATTGATTCTAAGAAATTCTACAACTTGTGTGGTTAAAAAGTAAAAGAAATACGTGAGTTTTGTGATGATTTTCACACCTTTCCCAGTCAGGCGCTTTGTTGGTTTGTATAACTATAATACGAGCCGGATACAAACATATTACTTCAATTCATAACTCAAAAATATTATCCCTATCAATAAGTCCAAGTACTGAAACATACTCCTTCAAAATATTGATATCTCTGATTTTATTAAAATTACCTGAGATTACCACTTTTATCCCCACTTACCTGAGATTACCACTTTTATCCCCACTTGCCTGAGATTACCACTTTTATCCCCACTTACCTGAGATTACCACTTTTATCCCCACTTACCTGAGATTACCACTTTTATCCCCACTTACCTGAGATTACCACTTTTATCCCCACTTACCTGAGATTACCACTTTTATCCCCACTTACCTGAGATTACCACTTTTATCCCCACTTACCTGAAATTACCACTTTTATCCCCACTTACCTGATATTACCACTTTTATCCCCACTTGCGACCACGTCTCCACGAGGACTGATCGCGAGCGCCGTGATCCCGCTCGCGTTGTCACTAACAGCGTTCCCTCTCCGCGCTCTCAACCACGAGAAGTCATCAGTTGTGTAGATCTGGGACAACAACTCCTGGAATTTATATAAAGTTTTAACATACCATCTCAACTGTTTTGTGTACCACACAATACCACAAAAGGGGGAAAGTCCTCGTTACCCGCATTGAAGTTTGTAAGATGGACGTGTCAGAAAGATATAATTAATTGATTGGAATTTGGAATGCGACTGTAGTCTTTAAGTTCCTAATGTAATGAGTACGCTAAGCCAACGTTTGTTGAGATGAAATTGGAGCTGTAAGTATTGTTCAGCAGATAAGATCATCATATCTGATCATTCATCAGAACACAATCTACACTCAGGACTCAGGACTCAACACTCACCTTCGAATAGATATTTCTCTTTGTTTTCACTTGCTCCTCAGGATCTGAAAAATAACGTCTTCAGGTATGGGATTACGTACTTATGTACTGTTAACAATCATTTGACGAAAACAATGTGTAGTGTACAGTGAACTATTAAACACTAAACTTTAACTCCGGACCAACTAAAACCGGACTAAGTTCTGGAATTTGCACAAGGCAAATGATAATATCATACATATAGAATTTACTAACGGAACCTATAAAGCTTCGTAATCAGAGCATTTTTGATGTTTACAGTAAATTACAATTAAATTTAAGCTAGGGTTATTACGGTTTCATTTAGTTTACTAATGAAAGAATTTGTATTACGTAAGATAATTTCCACAGTTATCTGTAAAAGTGTTCACGGCGCGGTCTAAATAACTCCGTCTCCAAGAACGCTATACTGATGAGAGAAGTTTGTGTAACTCTCCAACATTCTCCACTGTAAGCAAGTTGGCGAGCTCTATGTAACACAAAACTTGAAAGGTCTCAATTCTTTGGAAAAGCCTAAAAAGTTGCCTAAGAGCCCGGGAGATTCGCAGGTATTTTGTCATGTACTTTAAGCAGCAGTACACATGCTAGGATCTTGTAGAAGTCTGCCTGATCGACGGTATACTAAATATGTACATATTAGTGAGAATCACGAGAATTCGGTCCTTGTGAGATGCCATTAATGTAGGAGTCGGTGAGATGGTAGATAATTTAACCTTAAGTGCATGCCACATATGCCAAATATGCCAGACTGCCCAGAGATATGCCAGATATGTTCAAATATATGCCAGATATCATGTTCATCTTGTGTGGTGGGAGTCAAACTGACGGGACGGTATTACTGGATAACATGTTTACAGCACGTGCATCTGAAGCAGGAGATAATGATAAGTGGGCCGTGTTTCGTTCATCATTACGGTTATTATCCGGACTGATACCGGAACTGTGTGTTTAGTAATTGGTCCGGCCGTTTGAACGCTTCCTCTAATTTCTTAAAAGAATAGATGTGATGCGACTATTTTCTCCGTTTGAGCGATTTAATATCTTTTGAATAAAGAGGAGAGGTGATATTGTCAGATCTAGTTGTCGTTGCTGAGTAAGAATAATCACTGTGGTTAACTGTTAGAATATCTTGGCTCTCTCTTTAAAGTAGCTTATGATGATCATTGATCTGGTACACACTAACAGAAGTAGATCATGATGTAGATTGTAGAGAAGTAGATCATGATGTAGATTGTAGCGCTAAGATACGAAAATAAAACAGGACAGTTTACTGTCATGATCTGTAATCGGAGTTCGAACTGAAGATGTGATCATGTGATCGATTAAATCGAGTCACGTAGGAGAAAGTTGAGCTCTCAGTCTGTCTTTGATGAGGAAGCAGATCATCATCAAGTGTCTCCAGCTGCTATCTTAACACAATTTCAAACATGGCTAATATATGCATTCTTTGGTTAAAAATGGTCAACATTATGGCTATTTTAACCAAAACAAAAACCCAGCATTTGTGGAAGATAAGAGAGTGGATCTATTTGTTAGCTCCATGTTTTAGGTGAAGTCCTGGTGAAGTGTGTGAAACTAACCAAGAGTGTTCAAGTTCCATATCTTTATGGTGTTATCTGAGGAACCCGTTATGAACGTTCCTTTAGGTAGACTCATCGTGGAGTTTTCTGACTCTTGAGGGTAAACCTGAGAAATAGTTGTTAGAATTGTGTTATCTTTGTGGCAATTATTTCACCGTTGTACGTGGGTTTTCACAATACACAGACCGTACGTGTTAACAGTAAATAATTGCTGAAATTTGACGACCTTTTTCCGTTTTATTATCAACGGAAATTAAGTATTGTTTATTAATTAAAATGCGTCATTTCTAAATATGTGTTCTTCATAAAATGTTCCACCAGTGAAATATATGGCCTCTGATTATCTCATTCAAGACAATATGACTATGGTCTCTGATGACATGCGACATTCTAATTTACTGAGGTTTGGCCCAACTGAAAATAATTTCCGGTTTGACTCAGAGGCCATAGTCATATTGTCTTGAATGAGAAAATTTGAAATAAGTTGACTACTACTACTACTACTACTATGTCGGAACTAAGTCCGATCTACGCCAGATAACCCCCTCCATTTATATCCCTGTCCCGCATCAGGGTTCGCAGTTCCTCTTTAGAGTTTGTCCCAACTTCCTTCAGTAACATAGACAGTAACATAGACAAATAAGTTGAGGTCTGTTATTTGTATCGTATATGATGGAATAATCGAACCGTTTGACTATTCTATCATATAAATTACAATACAAATAACAGACCTCAACTTATTTCAGGTTTGACAGGCGCGGCCCAATGGCATTACATCTTATTAGGAATTAGGATTACAGTATAAAAATTATAAATCTTTCAATGAAATTGTAATTTTTGCGTCTGTAACGCGTAAGTAAGACCGCCACTAATCCAAAAGTGGATAAACGGATTAGTCTTCTTTGGCAGAAACATTAACTGGGAAGCAGCCAATTAAAATGACTTGCTGTTAGTTAACAAGATGTACTATTACTGTACTACTATTACTATCACTATAAAATATGTACTATTACTGGCGATATTTGCTCTGACCTGCTGAGCTACTTGACAATGATTGCCGCCCAATTTAACATCGAAAAAAAACCGGGCCAATCGGAAATTTAAGAGACAGGCCCAATTTAAGAGATAAAAGATAAACATTCCATTAAACATGTTTGATAGAAAAACATTCCGTTTTCTAACCTCAATAGCGCAGATACAGGCGCTGTGGAAGAGATATGATCTGTACTTCCCCACCCTGTGTATATTAGCGATATCCCAGATGTACAAGCTCTTATCTCTGTATAACACTATCACCTGAACAATGTGTTTAGCAGAGGCGAAAAATATTTACATTTCTATTTTTAAAATATTTTATTTCCATTTCAGTGTTGAATCATGAATGTTTTATGTTGTTACAGATAACACTGTCAAAATTTGCTTTAAAGTATAAGCCAATATCACAAAATCTAATTGCTTATATTAAAGCACACTGTAGATCTAAATATAGCATCAACTTGCTTTATTTCTCTACATATTTCAAATATTTTACATTTATCTAATCTTCAAATATTTCACAAATCAAAATATTTGATATACGGTACTTCTCTTTACATTTCCTACCTTGGAGGTGAGTGAATCAGCGACCACCCCAATACAGTCAGGGAACTCAGATGAGGGTAACACTGATACCATACAACTGAAATATACACGTGTTGGTGGACCGAACCCCTAACGGACCGAACCCCTACTGCTTCTCCTAACCATAACCGTAACCGTAACCGTAACTCTAAGGCTTAATCAGAACCCTATCTCAGATCACGACAGGCAGTTATAAAGCGTTAGGGATTCGGTCTGCTTACCACAAGCCGCTTCTATCAGTGTAAGCGGCTTATCAGTACCAATATATATCATACGTACACATATCAGTAACTCAGTTATAATCATACAACTGCATCTTATCTGTTACCAGGGTATAATTGGCATGATACACCATGCCATGCATGAGAATCATATCATACATAGTAAGGTTTCATATCATATTTCATAATATTATCATTCGTATAAATATCAGAAAGCTCGTGGACTTTTACTTTTTAGATATACCGTATTTTAGAGTTAATCTGTGATTTTTGTGCGGAATTTTTATTGAGTGACCCAAATGATCAAATTTGTCTTTGATCAAGAACAACGGTAAGGAAACTTCAAAAAAGGTGAAAACAGAATAATTGTTTACCAATTTTGTAAATTGAAAATTGCAATAGTAGAGTAGATTGGCAGAGTGGATTGGAAAATAATATGTTATAAGTATAAAACTCTAAAATAATAAACATAACTTTATAAAATATAATGAATACATAATAATGAATAATATCATTATTTATAAAAATGATTATCCCGATTATGATAATTATATCATAAGAATATATAGAAAGACTGCTGCTAATCGATCGCATTTACTGCTAGCTGCTGTTAATCGATGGTGTTCCTACCAATACAGCAACTATATTGCCAGTTTAAATCCGCACCTCGATTTACTGTTGATCAGCGTATTTTCATTTTCCCAGGATCTTTAAAATAATGACAGTGTGGGAATTACACGTTAAACAAAACCCCGCATTGCGGTCCTTCCCAGTTATAACAGAAAGTCAGAATATATATCATTACTATCCCGGCAATAACAAAAAGTTACGGAATTTTATTTCCCCTACGGTACATGGATAAAAAATGTGACATAGTACATTAGTACATACATAGTAACACAGTAGTTAGTAAATTCCCTAAATTACACACTCTTACCTGGGTGAGGTACAAGAAGCGAGGTCCACGCCGAGAGGGTGAGGTTTAGGGAGGTTAACAATGTGGGTAAGTGAGGCAGGTTCAAATACCCTCACCACGCCGTCACTACACCCACATAGCAGGTGGTCGTTTGTCACGTACAGTGCAAACGCGTCGTTCACCTGGGGCAGCAGTGTAGGGTTATGAGTTGCTCGGATCACGTGATGGTGCCTTTAAATAAGGCTAAAACAGTAAAACTGGGTTGTTTTCAGCTTTTTACAGGGTATGAACTATGATTGTCATGTGATCTGTAAACCTAGTGCCTGTTAACTGAGTGTAACCTATACAGTATACAGTCTGTCAGCTTGTCGGTTTTACAATAAAGTAGAGCTACAGAGCAACATATCTTAGAGCTGCAGAGCAGAGAGCTTATCTTTAAACAACACATCACTAATCATACAGTACCGTAGCTGTTATTTGGTGTTACCACGGTACTTTAATTGAACACCATGGTAACAAGAAGTCAGATTTCATGCGAGAGCATAGAACTGTGAGTTGAGTAGTACTTGTCTTACGAATCAGTATATTACAGATAATTGATTGACGTGATGTAATTTATGTAATTGATCGACTATGTAATGATTACATAATGTAATCATAATTTGATTGACACATAACACCGCTGTATTGATCACTCTAGGATAAAGATAGGGCCGCTGATAAGATATAAGTTTAACTAGCAAGTTTAAAGGATTGTACTATTGTACATTTGAGAGAGTACTCAGGACTGCCAGATTTAACAGCTTATAATTTTAACATCGTATCCAATTTAAGCGTGTGTGTAATCTTAAATGTAAGAGAGGGCTGACTCGACACTGTCGTGCTGCCTACACTAAATGAATTCAAAGAAGTCTGACTAGAAATACTGAGTTAATCATAACCAGGTAAACACCGTTAAATTCCACAATATCTCACCTTCAAGTCCAGCCAACGTTCCACTCGTCTACTCTCTCCAAAACTGTACAAGCTTCCCTCGTTCGACAAACAAAACGTTAGATGAGAGAATTGTCCTGATACAGGAGATTTAATACAGCAACAATAATCTCAGAGTTTAGCTGCTCTCTTCGACCATAAAATGGATGAGCAAATGAGTCAGAGCGAATCGGACGAAAACCAAGTTAGGAAATCTCAGATCCCAACAAAAAAGGAATATACAATTTTATATTTACGTAACCTAAAATAGTTCCGTACCTTTACCACAGATAACAGATTTAAAGGTGGTGTTGCGGTGGTTGTCAAGTATAGCAGCTCTATTCTCACACGGACTCAGCTGATTGAGGGCCTTGTCGTCGTTTGAGTTGAAGTACCAGAACTTAACGAACCGTATCCCCACTGTTACGAAGTAGGTACCCTTCTCGTTAAAGCTCATCCCAAATACTCGACTTGATACTTTGTTTCCTGCCACTTGTTTTCCAGTCTGGGTGTTTTATCAGTTTCACTATTGGGTTAAGGAACAGCGACTTGTTTGAGATCAATAATATGGACTATATTTTTGGGAATCTGGAATTGGTATCCATCGCTTCAATGAAAAAGAAAGGCGAGCAATATTAAAGATATTCGAAATTAGAACCTTCCAATTCCAAACAGAGACATTAGAGTCGTGAGTAAAGCCGACAGATACGACCACTTTTCCGTTAGGAGAGAAGTTAACGGATGATATTCCGAACCGATGACCTCTGAGCTCCTTGATTTGTACTTGTGAGTTTGCGTCCCACACTCTTACACACGGCTGGTGACCACTCTGGAGAGGGAGGGGGTCGGTTATTTGACAATACAATTTATTTGACATTTATTTGTCACTACGTTTAAGAAACTTAAGATCGTTGGAAACATACTTCTTTGATATGCAGACTTAAAGTGAAATTGAAGAATTTGCGACTAAGGAAAGTTTCTGAAATCAGATCACCTCTCCGGTAACAACATAGGCTCCATCTCTAGAGAAAGCTGCACAAGTCAGCGGTTTCTTGGATACGTTCTTTATGTGGGTCTGCTTGCTCTTCTTTATATTGTACAGTACACATACACACCTGTTCAGATTACATATCGTGAGCAAGAAATATTTATCACCATTCTTCTTGGGAAAATACATTTTGAGCTTGCAGTTCAAATTCTTTGCCAATATTGGTAGATCAGCATTGAATTACCAACAAATATTTACAAATCACTGAAGATGTGAAGATGACACTTACCCTGCAGTGTACAAGATATTCTCCGTATTGGGATCATATGACAAGGAGTTATTACTTGTAGCGCTCACACCCAACACCTGTTCTAGCTTTACCTGACGATCACATTGCGTCAGATGTGAAAATAATACATCAAATAACAAATCAGCTGTACTGTATAATATGAGATATTTTTGATAGAAGCATTCAACTTTTTAAATGGACATTGATTGGAAATGGTTTAGAGTTCTCTAAGGAAACTTGGTTTAGATTAGGCAAACCATCCGGCCATGCTGTTTTTATGACAGCAGATAAAAGAGTCTACTCACTAAGTTTGTTAGTAATTAATAAATTGTAGGAAAAATAACATGCACACAGAAATTTCACACTTTTATAAACATCAACGTCTCTATAATATAAGTCCAACTGTGTATCTTTGAACATTTTCATTACAATGTCATATCAAGATCAAATTCTCAAGGCGAATGATTTGATAACAGCCTGATATATGATATCCAAATTGTCTAGCACTTCTTGAAATACAAAACAATTGCAAAGGAACAGAATTAAATGAAATTAACTTAGCAATGTAAAAATGGATATAATAACGGATATAATATACAAGATCAGGCTATAACAATTCAATGCATTTATGGTATAAGGAGCAAAGCTAACCTCAATGAAACTAATCTTTTAAGTTCACTCATGATAATATCTTAAAAGTAATATCATGGTAAACTTTTAAAGAAAGTAAAATTCATGCACAAACAACGTATAGCAGCCAGCATTTTCAACCAAAATACCCTGTCAAGAAAAGCGTACGCATGCCTAGCAAATCTGTCACTTCTTTGGTCTTTCTGTCCCCTTCTTACATAATTATTGGCTCTTTTTCTCAGCACTGACTTTTCTTTTTTCAGCTGTGTTCCATCTTCTTGTTTTCCCTTACTTTGTTGACGTGCTAAAGTTCTCTTTTCATTCAGGTTTGATCCAGCATTGCTGGGTCTCCGTACTGTTTTTACTACTGGCTTGGGTACATTTTCCTTCTCTGCATCCTTTGATAAAGTAGATATGTCTTTAGTGTAAGTGCCTGATCGTTTGACCATATTTCATGCTATGAGGTAATAAGCTATACACTTCGGTTAGAGGGAATATACTGCTTAGAAAGAAAGTTATTGGTTAAATGATTTACCTGTAATAAGAAAACATCATGCACTACAATTCTCAATTGTTGAGGCAATTGAGATTAAAACTCTCTGTTTGGAAGTATCTTAACAGCTAGCGGAAGAAATCTGTGAACAGGGATAAAGCGAAAAAGATTATTTGAAGAGGGCACTTGCTTTATGGGCTTCATGTTCATCATATTTCACATTGAGGGGCTTCACACAGAAATCAACTATGTAAAACACTGCCTTTAAAACATACCTTCGGTTCTTGCGTGCTCCCTGCATTGTTGCCACCTCTCGATTGCCCCTTACTACGGATTACTCTTTTCACATGTCCTGATCCATTTTCTCTGACCATAACTCACATGAGCAAAGTACCAGATAACTCCCTCCAGAAGAAGTCATTCATGAATTACTAAACTTATAATGCTACATGGAAAAGTGTGTTAATGTTGTTTCCACAACAAACAAGACATAATTAGTAAAACAAATTTATTCACGATCAATTTTGATCTATCTGCAATACTTTATTGCTGACTTTAATAGAACTAAAGTATATATTCTTTTAATCCATGCTCCAAGAAAATCATATTACTGGCAGAATAATGATTAAAATATGCCAAATATCATATAATAAGGTATCCTAAAAATTTACGTAGCTAACAACAAGAAAACATATTTTTCAGTTCCTTTAAGAGAATTTCCCATGAATTGATAAAAAATAGACATGAATAGTTCTTCTCTTAAAGCAATTATATCAGACATGCTATTAAACTACTGTCCCTTGATAGTGATACTATTCTTCATAATACCCCTTCATCGTAGTCCGATAGTTTCACTGCTTCTTAATATGATCCAAACCTGACCTGGAACTGGTATTGGCAAACAATTCATTTATAAGGAAATGTATTTATGATGTATCCAGTATCCTACTTGTTATTCTACCTGCCCTTAATAAATGTTTTCATACTTCATCAGTCGCGCGCCGATGCAGCTTGTACTGATTTTTTTAAAGAAGCATCAACTCTGGTGATACAAGTGAAAAAAAATATATTTCAAATTAGATTTTTGAAAAAATGTTCTGTCGTCAATTTTTTATAAAGATCCAACAAATAAATTTAGCACATGATTTTTTAAAAACTCGCCTCCCTTATTTTATATTTATAATAAACAAACAAAACAAAAAGGGGGGGGGGACCCCAAACCCATGTAGCTGAGACACCTCACAGCAATGCAAGTTGACCAAAGTGCCTCTTGCTTGTGAAAATAATAATAATAATAATAATAAAAACTTGTGAAAAGTGCTTCAACTACCCCCCGAAGAGTTGGGTTGTGAGTCCCCCTGGGATCATTTCGTCCCTAAAATTGTACACAAGCTACAATAAATGATCTACAAAATGTACATAACAAATTTAGGACACATCATAGCTCGTTTTCTAAGCACTTAAGGGGGAACTGAAACCAGGTTTTTGATCAGAAAGTAAAAATAAGTTTTACCTTCGATCGTAACAATTCTGAGAAAAAGCGCGGCGGTACAAGTAAAATCCGTTAATGTTTAAGTGTTGCGGTGAACATTTCAACTGATTTGTCTGAGCACAGCGTCGATTATTGATGTACATATTATATTATATATAATACGGCCAGGTAGCGCAGTTGGTTAGAACGCCTGTCTTACAATCGTTAGGTTGCGAGTTCGAAACCCACTGACTGCCTGGTCGTGGGGTGAGCGTCGTCGACGTTCAGCTAAGGATCATGAGTGGTCTATGCAGCCCCCCGGTCTACTCAGCCGAATACTCGAGAAATCGGGTGTGAGGGTTAAATGAGGAGCTGCACATTGCAGCAAAGTCTCGGACGAAGAAAGTATGGTACACACTACCTTAACCGTCACTGGCCAAAAAGATCCTTCGGCTTCCTGTAATTGGCTGGTTGCACTTGTGTAACATTGTGGCTGTTGGAATACACCGAAGTAAAATAAGTGTCTAGATAAAAAATATATATAAAACTAGCACGAACTTTAGACCAAATATCTTACGGGACTTGGAATAGCAAGAAAGTGACTAAAAGGTATAGCAGGACGCAATGAAACTACCAAACCACGATGTATGTTGCCACCCCATGGGAACATTAAAATATATCGACTCTGTAGTCTGTTACATCGTTTTATACATTATTTGTTATATGTAGTGTTGAAAGTATTAAAAATACACCTTTTATAAAAATACGTCGAAAAGAATCCAGGGTGATACAGGATTGGAAAGTGCAGACTGTATAATTTTTTTTCCAGCAGTGAGCAGCAGTCTGCAGTTAGCAGCAGTTTTTTTTGCACTATAGTCCTTCTGTGACCCCTGCCTCCTGAATTTTGTTTTACTTAATCAATATCAATATAAAATTGTTATGTTATGTTTGATCGACGATGTCAATCCATCTAATTTCTAATCGATATCGTTGCTTTGCGATGAACGACGCGAAGCAAGAATGCTAGTTTGCGCGGCGCGTCGAAGCGGCGAAGTCCTCCATATGTTATGTAAATTTAAGTTTATCATAAATCAGTCTGGTGGTGGTCTTTTCATATTTTTGGTTTCATCCTTATGTTATTGACGATGTCAATTCTTCCAAACTCGGCGAGGCCCAGTAGCGCGAAAAGCATCATTGAGTGCGCGGCCCGGCCCAGTAACGCATTGCGCTACAAATCCTTTTGTGGCGAAGAAGCAGTTTACAAATTTTAATTCCAATTAGAAAAGTTTGAATAGCTTTTTAAATTTTTAAATTTTCGAATTCTAAAAATATAATTATGTTTTTTATCATATTTCTTAAAATTGAATATATATAGTAAAACAAATTTTAGTAAAACAAATTTAAATTTTGGTATTTATTAATAACAATCAAAACATATCATATCATAAAAATAAAGCCGCGCGTTGGTTGACTGCCTCAGTATGGTGAATAATTTAAGCTTGAAGGTGCCCTGCGCATTTACAGAACATTATGCGGCGATCACATGATCACGAGGACCTGTGAGCGCCAAATTTAATTTAAACTTTCTAGAAATCGTACATCACTACGAGTTACTCATGCTTTTGAATTATAGGAGTGCGGATTGTCATGTATTTCATTCATTCATACTTAATCGGTTTAAAGCTGTATATTTAGAGCTCACTATTGTTTGAACTATGAAAGCAGAACGTAAATAATGGACAATATACCGACGACAATACCAAGGACCCGAGTGCCGCATTGACTTTTCCGGATCCGTTTTTACCGAAGGCTTATCCACCAGTTACTCATGCTGCATGTATAGTCTGATAATATTTTGTTTTATCTCTAGCAAGCATTCTGTAAGTTGGAGTGTCGTATTTATTATAGAAGAGCCAGCCAACCTCCGCATTACAATCTTTTGTATGCCAGGTTCGTTTATAAAATCTAATCATATAATAAGATTGATCCAATAGTCTAAGATGAACGGTATATCTTAGCTCATCGTTATTAAAATCCTAATGGATGAATTAATCAAGTAATGTTCCCTTCCAACACAACTAAACAACAAACAAATGCTTGCTCACCAGTGGTGACGCAATCGTAGGGGCATGCAGTTGGTTCAGATAACTCTCACCCCGACGACAGCGTCGAGAAATTATCAAATGATGCATTTGCGCCATACTGGACACATTTTATATTTAATATTTTGTGGTTTGTAGAAATTAGTGTCATCTAAAGTATAGCTTAACTGGCGAGCAAGCATCGTCCCACTCGGCGGGGACGAAAATACCGAGTCCAATCACAGAAAGTTAACCAAAAGATAAAAACAAGAGCTCGGATATCAACAAAAATCACACGCTCCAGACGACGGGGGAAGAGAGGATAGGAAGTAAGCTGCTGGGCTCAACAAATTTTGATAATTGTAAACAAATTTGTTCTTGTGCCCTATAATAATTTGGTATTGAGGTATGACCCTGTACTGTGCGTGATAGTGAAAATGAAAGTGAATGTGAATCTGCAATGCGAACGAAATGAGTTATGGCCAGACGATTCTTCAATTTCAAAATAATAAAGTCAAAGGACTCTGTTTTAAAATACAAGCTCATTCTTATCGAAGTTTAATTCTGTCCATTCTAATTCTTCGTACCTGGACTGTATCTTGAGTAGCTCACTTTTCAGTGTTACTTTAACTAAGTTCGTTGACTTAGTAAAGCTTATCATACTGTCAATTTTTCGACAGTCGTTCCACATTTTTGTTGATTGATAAATGAAAGAGGAGGATGGGTTCGGGGTGATGAACTGGTCTGAACGTCTTTGTGATGGTGATCTGTGGAGTAAAGATAGGAGTGAGATTGGAGATTCTAATCTGACAATTTTGAACAGTTCTAATAGACATGTGTATTTGTACAGGTTGTGGACGGTAAGAAGGCCGTTCTTGTTAAACAACGGCTTTGTATGCTCTTTTTCAAAGAATTCTCTTCCTAGGATTTGTTCATCTATACAACGTGTTCTGGCACATGTTCTAAATTTATCTAGATATGCTTCAAGGTCACCAAATAGTATTCTGATACATTTTTTCTGAGTGATGAAGATAGGTTGAAGCATATTATTACTCGACCCACCCCATACCGATATTCCAAATCTTAGGTGTGACTCAAATAACGTGTGGTACAATTCTTTATGGTGTTTTTTCGGGATAACGTGTCGTATTCTACTGAGTCTTCCGATCTCACACCTAAGTTTCGAGTTGAGGGCTCTTATTTGAACATCCCATTTTAGCTTTTCGTCAATAATAACACCTAAAAACTTGGTCTCTTTAACTTGCTTTATTACCGTATTATTTAGAGTTAGTATATATTCTGATTCGTTATCTGCCTCATTACCAGTAGCTGTACGTGACGGATTGAAGTGGATGTAGCAGCATTTCTTTATATTTATATGTAATAGATTGCATTTCATGTACTGGTGTAACAAACGGAGAATTTCGTTTGCTCTTGCATACAGTTTTTTTCTACATCCATCTACTACGAATATGTTTGTGTCATCTGCAAATAGTATGAACTTGCCCAGATCAGTTGTTCTAAATAAGTCGTTAACATATATTATAAATAGCAAGGGTCCGAGACAAGAGCCTTGGGGAACTCCAAAGAGAACAGGCAGCTTGTCAGACTCTTCGCCCAGTACAGAGACATATTGATATCTATTAGAGAGATAACTAGCGATGAGTCTATTGGCGTTTCCACGTATTCCATAGTTGTCTAGTTTATTAAGTAGTTTTTCATGTGAGATCGTGTCAAACGCTTTAGATAGATCAATAAATATTCCTAGTACATGCAGTTTTTTGCTAAGACAGGATTCTATGTAATTCACTGAGGAGTTGAGGGCATGGCTTGTGGAGTGATTTTTTCTAAATCCGTACTGGTTCTCGTAAATCATTTTCTGGGACTGAAAGAAGCTAT